CCCGGGGGTCCTCCGGCCGGCGCCGCGGGGTCCAGGAGTCGGGGCGCTGCAGCTCGCCGGCCTGCGGCCGCCGCTCCCTGGGGCCAATCTTGTTATAAATAGTCCTGGGTGTCGGGGACCCTCCTGGCCAGCCCTTTCTTGCCTTGAGATCCAGGATGTCCAAGGGCCAGACTCACTGGATTCAGGCAAGTTTTAGGAAAAACAAATACCCAAAACTTACCCATCTGCGCTCTGCAAGGAAACGACGAGGTTTTAGAATTTATTGGTGAGGAGAGTATAGAAAGAGTGAGCTTCAATTCTTTACAAAGAGGGATGTAGGAGGACAGAGTTATATTTAAGGAGGGAACTTGGAATGTAGGACTTGGAGAGGATGGAAGGATGAGGGATGGAAAGTCTGTGGGTGCTTGATCGCTGGGCTGACTCTTAGGGAAGAAATGGGCAAGGCAGGGGCAGGGGACTCTGCCATTTGATGTAATAGTGCCACAATCATTGACATAAACGGAATGCTTTTATAAGTTTTATATAATATTATTTTCTGGGGAGCTAACATCTCTAAGGCGGGAATGGAAAGTAATTTACACCACCTGGGAATGGCAGTACAGGATATGACAAGCTTTAAAGTACCTGGCCAAACTGGTCATTTCTAGACCCAAATATAGAGAGTAAAGAGGTGGACAACACATCCACCCCTGTGGCAAATTCAGGTGGCCCCAAAAGAGTAAAGAGGGATAAGAGAAAAGGGTATGTTGATAAATGTGGTAAGTTCTACTGTGAGTCTCACTGAAATGAGGAGACAGCCACTCAGGGTCCACTGTTAGTGAACAGAGATGTTCAGAGTAGGACAACTGGGAGGAAGGGGGAAGCTGAAGGCAACTAGCATAAACATACACACACTGGGAAACAAAACCAAGGGACAGGGTAGCCAACCAAGTAGTGAAAGCAGGGCCTGGTACACATTTTGAGGTCTTAGGAGCTATGCAGCAAGTGCCAGGGCAGTTATACCTGGCCAGGTGCCAGAAGAACTGTTCATTCAGTTCCTTAAGTTCATAACCTTTTTGGTCACTGTCTCCTTTGAGATTATATCCAAAGCTCAAGAAGATTTAATAATTATAAACATTAACTTTTCAGTTTGTTTTTAATCCTCACCAGAGGATATTTTTTTTCATTGCTTTTCAGAGAGAGTGTAAGCGAGGGTGGGGGCGGGGGGGACATCTATGTGAAAGAGACACATCAATTGGTTGCCTTCCGCACAAGCCCCGACCTGGGCCAGGGATCCAGCCTGCAACCAAAGTACGTGCCCTTGGCTGGAATCAAACTCAGGACCCTTCAGTCTGAGGGCTGATTCTCTAACCACTGAGCCAAGCAGGCTAGGGCTAACTTTTCAGTTTTATGACAGTTGCGCATCACAAGGGTCATGGAAAGAGTAGGCAGCC